CCAACTAGTGATCAACTAACATCCAATTATCTTCATGGGTCAGAAAAGAGTCTTTCCAGCAGAAAGAGCATGAATGATAATGAAAGATAGGACTCTGAAACCCCTCTGTTTATATAGCAAATAAAAGTGCATCACATTTCTAAGAAATTGTTTTGCTTGCCTGCATCCTTTGCCAGCTTTCTTTGTCTCTGCAGAAATGCTGCAGTCTTGCATCAGCCTTTACAAATCATATGAAATTGAGATGCAAAAACTATGTTAAACTGTTATGTCTTCCCCTTCCCCTCTAAGAAACTTAAGTCAATTTGCCAGATATTAGTGCCACCCTTCCCATCCACCCTAACCCTAACCCACCACAGAGTTCATAACCTTATCTCAAATATTTGCAACATATTCCAGTACCCAAAAAGAGATTCAATGTTTGTCAAGAGAATGATTTCTTTACTGAAACTGAAATACATATTTTCTCTTTTTGTATTTATGCTATAGAAAGTCATTTTTGTACATGATGGCTAATGGATTAATTGTTGTTTGCTATGAAAAACAATGAAAGCACAAAAATAAAAAAAATACGGTAAATAGTTCTTGTAGTCATTTTTAGTGGACAAAACTGAATTGGAATAAAATAGTTTTAAGTAATTCTAGCTCGCAGAATGATCTTTTCACAGTTGATCAATATGGCACTCAAGTACTTACATATTTAATTATCCAAAGTATAATTAACATATATTAAGCTAAATCAAATATAGTACACACAACCAACAGAATCCAATCTGAGACCAGAACACAGTTATGCACAAACTTAACCTCTGAATGTAGACAAGGGTGTGGAAGGAAGCACAAAAGAAGAATAAAATTATAAGAAACCTGCAGTATGTATGAGGTTGAGGAAGGAAAGCCATCAACCATTTCTAATATTGATTTGCAAATCTATTGATTCCAATTGTAGAAATGAGTTCATTTTGGTTTTCATTTTAGATATCAAGTACAGCTTAAAATGATGTATCATTCCATAGTTAGAAAAACATTTACTATTGTAATGTTTACAATTGCAAAATACAAATCTACTATAAAAATAAAAATATGGCTAGTGGGCTTGATACTAAATGAAAAGTCCTAGATTCTTTGCATATAAACAGATTTAAGTCATTAAATGCAAAGCATCATGCTTGCATTGTCAGCTACTTCACAGCAAACCTCTAAAGCAGAGGTGTCAAACTGCCAGCCTGTAGGCCGGATGCGTCACGCAGAAGCCGCGCCCACCCATTGCCAGCAATGGCAAAACAGTCCCAATTTGTTGCGCGATGTCACGTGATGTCGCACATTTGACATGTCTGCTCTAAAGTAATCATTGCATGCAAGAAAAGCAAACTGAGTGGCATTTTTTCCATAGGCTTGATAGGGGTCCTTACCTCTATCACTGGAAAGAATTTATATCTGGTAAAACTAAGCACTAAATATACTCAGCTGGGTAGTTCTGGCTTCTAAGAAATATGCATACCCAAAGTACACTCCTATTATTTCTCAATGGGAAAAACTGACATCATCAACGGGTAGATTGGTATCAATGTGTTCCCATCCATAGAGGTTTTTGTCTGATTTTCTATTGGCATATGCAAAACCCAAACTGATAGCTATCACACATCACTCTACATTTCCCCTAACTATCATCACTATAACATGATACCTCAATGGGAGATTGCCATATACTTTTAGCTTTCCTCCTACCAGCAAACAGAATAATAATGCATAAAAAAATAAAATAATACAATGCCTAGTTTGCCAATAGAATACATATTCTTAACTACAACTCTTGTAGAGTTATACTAATTTATACTAATAGTCTAAAACTACTTTTTTTATGAAATAAGACCAAAAATAGTAATTTCTCACCTTACTCCCACCATAACCTTATTAAAACCTTAGATTTCTGAAGACCAATCATTATCGCAAGTGAAAATAAATGGTTTAAAAAACAAAGAAGTTACTTCTTAGAAGTACATGTTGCTCATTATCTATGACTTTATGCTCTGCTTAAAAAAACTAAAGAGTGAGAATAGCTTTGTTTCTCCCAAATTAGTGGGAAGAATAATAATCCACATTTTATTTTGTAGTTTGGATTGTCCAAGAGTAAGAAATCCTTTAGTGAATCCAATTCCATTCAGACAACCGTCCTTTGATCACAAGCTGGAGATAAAGTTGTAACATCTGTAAATCATTAGTTGAGGTGTTTTGGGATTTTAGTTCATACATGAATGAGACAAGCAACTGTCACAGGCTGTTCTTTCGCAGACACCCTTGTCTCCATGCAGGGGGATTTTAGTCAAGGACATAACAAATGGCCATTATGTATCTGTGGCAAGGTATATAATTTTTTTTAGAAGAAAAATGCTACAGTGGAAGAGATTTTTGCTAAGAATTCACAGAAACAAAGAAATGCTATGTTGAGTTAAAATAAAAAACCCGCTGCTTTCTATGACTACTTGTTTTTCTAAATGAAATAAAAGGTGAAAAAATGCTAATTAGGATGAAATTGCTTGCAGTGGTATTGTTTTATCCATTTACAAAGTAACACATTTCTAATAGCGAACGCCTGTTTTCTGTTTCTCAATTTACTGTCGTCTTATTGAGATTAAATTGTTACAGTCATTTCCTCCTAGAGTATTGCTAAGTGAGAGCTTCAGAGATCATTAAAAAGGTTGGAGAATAAATAGAATGAAAAAGGTGAAGCTCGTCACTACAATTCCTAGTACATTGGGGTTTTTTTTACACACAAAAATAGCACAATGTAATCTGAGTCATAAGCTGCTAAGCATGCTATTCGAGCATTCAGATCCATAAATGCAGAAAGGGAATTTATTTTTGCTTTCTTAAGTGTCATTTAAAATATCTAACATGAATACTACCCAAACTATGAATGCAAACTCTTGAATTTAAAAAATTAACATTGTAATAAAATACACCAGAATATATGATTTAAATCCATTATCTACCCTTGAAGTCCCTGACCTTTTCCTGATACATGCATTGTTATTCATATTGACTCTTTGCATATCTTACACAAAGAGTTGATCCACATTTTGTGGTCAGAAATAACAAAAGAACTTACCAGGTGAGAGCAGACCAGGGAGAGCAATTCTTATGTATTACGACTTCTGCACATAGCATGGGACCTCTGGTTATAAATGCCTTATACTGTATACTTAAAAGATAATTGAGTTTCACTTCCTCTGATATTTTGTTTAACAGCCAGTTCATTTAATATCTTGAAAGAGAATTATTGAGAATTTAAATGCTTACTATTTTAAAATATTAATTGGTCATAATATAGAAATATTTTCCCACTATGTTTTTTATTGGGGGGGATTCTATTCTACTAGAACACTGCAAATTTGAATATAATTACATATTTGAGATATGCTTTCACTTACTAAAACTCCAGCTACCCAAACTCCTGACCACTGTGGTCATACTAACTCAGAATATTAGGAACTGCAATCCAAAATTCTTCAAGCACCAGGTCCCATAATCCTTTATCAGCACTAAAATTATGAGTCTATGCTAAAGCAGGCTTATGTAAACCTCCAACTGAAGGAATACACTGAATCAATCCTGTGGACCCCTAAACCAGGGGTTCTCAACCTTGGCAACTTTAAGACTTGTGGAATTCAACTCCCAGAATTCCTCAGCCAGCTTGCTGGCTTAGGAATTCTGGGAGTTGAAGTCCACAAGTCTTAAAGTTGCCAAGATTGAGAACCCCTGCCCTAAACCATTGCCATTATACTCAGGGTTAAAGGGGGAAATTATGTTTTAAATTTACACTTTATCTTTCTACTCAAATGGTGGCTAACAAGATTTAAACCTTTATCAATTTTCCTAAATGCTGAGAGAACAGAGGCCAAATGCTGTTGTTGAGGAAATGCATTCTCTAGTGTGAGACCTGGAAGAAAGTAGGAGAAACTGGTCCCACGTATCAGGGGATCTTCAGAATGGCATGTCCTGCAAATCTTTAATATTGAAACATGTGGGCAACAGGAGAGGAAACCTTCATATAATAAAATCCTCAGCCATTTAACGCTAAACTGATACTACAATCATAATTATACCACACCTGTTTGACAGAAGTCTTAATATCTAAATCCACTGCTTAATTTCTTTAAAAAAAAATCTGATGAAAGTGAAAGTTTTTTTAGGGAAATGCAGAGGAGAGGTAATACTAGGGATCTAATTAAATCTTGTGCACAATTATTTACTATTACAACTCTGCTTCTGCTATGACTCAGTTTCAACCCAATCTGCAACAAGGTCTTTTATATAATTGTTGTAAATTACTGTCGCAATGCAAAACTAGTTAGTCTCCAGATGTGGTTCAACTTGCATTTTCAGCAGTCTTAGCCAGAATATTCAGTGGTAAAGGATGCTGACAGTTGCAGTTCTACCTTATCTGAAGAGTCTCAATTTCTAAGTACTTATACAAAAGTAGATTACATTCTTTTCATACAATCTATGTGGGAATACATTGAGTTCCAATGACACCCTATTTCAGCACTTTAAATGAAAGCCAATTTCCCAGACTGAGAATAGGATCGCATTTTACAGCAAAAACATATGTGCACCCAAAAAATAACAGGTCCTTCTCCTTCCATTTGCCTCTATCAATCCATCTCTAAGTAGTGGTCTTCTGGTAAATCTCATCTCCCAATGCACAAGGAAAGAAACGTGCCAGGGAAAGAAAACTGCCAGGAGAAGGAATAAGCTAAGCAAAGAAGCAGATAGCTTCAAGGCTCATACATCACTTCTGATGTTATAAACAAATCTTCTGATACATGCCCTCTTTCAGCCGCATTGTTAAGAATGCATAGATATGTCACTGTTGTGTCTACTTTCATCCTTTAGCAATCTCTCTGCATGCACTGCACAGAAATAGCAATGCAAGTCTGGTTGCCCAATACAAATTATACAGAACTATTTTCTTCATGTCAAAATAAATTCCCATTACTTACTTCAAATGCCAGGAGTGTTCCTAAGCGCCTCAGTAATATCTTCCTTTTGCGTCCCTTGTACTACTTGCTGCTGCACTTTTTTTCTGAAGTCTGTGCATTAAAACTCTTTCATTGTGCTCCAGGATGCTATAATTAAAAATAAACAGGAAATATTTAGAGGGGAAATATCAACTTCAAGCGATTCGTGGGGAAATCCCTGACCTGTCTGCTTTAACAAGCTGGTTTGGGAACCAAAATGAACAGTAAGTGGATCTTTTTGAGGTTTCTTTATCTCCGTAAGAAACAAAGTATTGTGGAATTAATGCTATCTATTTGCCTGTTGTCATTATTTGATTATCAATTTAGGCTCTACTACTGAAAAAACAGAATATTAACGCAGAGACAGCAGGAATAACCACAGAGAAATCAGGACATATAACTGTTGTGATTGACAATTAACCAAAAGGATGACTTGAAAGCTAGGTAAATCAAATTAATTATAATCTCTCCATAGTCTAAATCCTACTATGTAAAGGTTATTGTTATCTTTCTGCTACATTAGGCATCTTCTGGATAGCCATATGAATAATTCCACCTTAATATGAACCTAGGTTTCTGTTTGTTTTATATGTCCTGTCTTTGGTATTCAACACAGAGATTAAGGAGATTGCTTGCTAGTTTAGAGAAGTACTGCATAAGATTCTCCCTATTCTAGTTCCCACCAGTCATCTTAGACAAGGGTCTGAGTCCCATCATCTCCAGATAGAAATCTGGTAATGTTGTTGTACTGCCACTTTCTTTTAGCAGGCCTAAAATAATAAGTAAAAACTGTAAATTTACACCTTTTTTAAAAACCTTTTCACTACCCTGTTATGTTATGGTATGAATTCATTTTCCTCAATCTACAACTATGTTTTGATTCATCTGGTCAATCTTTTTTTTTTTTTCTTGCAGGGACAGAATTTTCATACTGAGTAAAGAATTCCAGAGTTTCTATTAATGAAATACTACCAGTGACAGGAAATACCCTTTTCTAAGAATTCTACAGTCTTAAGATTTTATTTAGAAAATATTACTTACGCAAAGTTGCATAAACACCTTGCCCTATTGAATATTTCATACTGCAGATTGTTAATCAGTATTAAAACATCTAATTTATTAATACTTTATACTGGACTTTTCGGGGTAACTGTAAAAGGTGAGCAATTGTAATAATTTTGTAAGGGGGGGAGAAAGATTTCATTTATTCAAATTAAGAGCAATATAGTGCAGAAAAAATTGCCTTGAACACTATAATCATATAGCCAAATCTAGCTACTAGAACTGTAATTTATCACACTAAAACTTATCACTTTTACTATCTGGTTCCAGATTAGTTGGTTTCTCTTGATAGAAAAAAAAGTGAAGAGAAAGGAAACAAAGGCAGTAACAATGATAAAAAAAAACAGATTATGAAGAATCCAGACTATTTTTTTGTTTTTTGTTATTTTGCATCCTCTACTTTTTATATCCAGTCCTATGAAGAAAGTTCTGGAGAATTCGAATGCTATCACATACTCTTTTGGTGTTTATTAGGCTGGCCTGAACAGCCAGCCTAATTGTTGAATTATACCATCTTTAAAAAATCCTTAAGGTTTTTTAATTGCTCCAGTTTGCAAATGACCCAGAAAAATTGGATTCGGATACGCGTAGTCCTCAATTTACAACCACATTTGGGACTGGAATTTTGATCACTAAATGAATCATCCACTCACTTCACCTGATTTTATGACCATTTCTACCCCAGTCATTAAATGAATCATGTAGTCATTAAGTAAATCCAGCTTCCTTAACTGACTTTGCTTGCTGGAAACCAGCTAGGAAGGTCACAAATCAAAATCACATGACTGCAAGGTGCTGCAACCATTGCCAATTGCCCGAATTGCAAACAACGGAGTGCTACAACAGTTGTAATTTTGAGTATAGATTTTTCTGAGGCTGCTGTAACCTTAACACATCATTAAACAGTCATAAGTTGCGGACTAGCTGTACTGAGTTAACAATGGTATGCTAACATAAGAATATAAGCACAATCTTCCTGGATCAGGCCAAGTCTAATCTGAGTCCTGCATTTTGATTATCACAGTGAACAATCAACATAGTGTTTGTAAGAAAATGAAGAAACACTCACTTTTCATTATTGCAACTGGTATTCAGATGCATGCTTTCCCCAGAACAATGATAGGACTGTATACACGTTACTCATGCGTTGTCTCAATTAACATTTTTCTAAGCTAATGATTCCCAAGCGTTCAAGCCTTTTCTGGTAAAAAAGGTACAGGTAGTTCTCAAATTAGGACAGTAATTGGAATTGAAATTTCTATTCCTAAATGATGTCATAAAACTTGACATCATCTAACTGCATTGTTTTGTGATAACAATCACTAAGTTTGGTCTTGTTAACGAAATCCCACTGGTAATTAGGTGAGAGCCCACCCCAATCCAAGCTATTCCTAGTTTGGTCCCTCCCAGTCCCGAATCTCACGTCAGGTGAGAAACTGTTTCTTGTCAACTTCCCCTACCAATTCTCTCATCTCTGCTCTTTTAGCCACTCTGTACAAGGGCACTCAGCGGTGACCCTGGAGATGAAATAGAGATTTGGGGCTTCAGTAATTTCAGCAAGACACCATCAACTCTGGACCTCTATTTCAGCCCAAGCACCACTGCCACCACCACCAAAGAGTGCCGCCTCAAGCACTGTTTCACAGTCAGCCACCCTGCCCCACAGCACAAAAGCCCAGATCTTTCCACAACCCTGCATAGCCAGCTGACCTTTGCCATTTTTAACCTGCTATTGACATGGCCTACCCAGCCTGGCCCTATGAAAGTTAGCTACTCAACCTGTCAGGTCTTCTTCCTGAGGCTGTGTTTGGCATTATCATAATGTTTTGCAAAGCCCTCAGAAAGCTTTTGAGGTCTTCCGAAACATTGCAAGAATGGAAGGTATAGTCTTTTCAGAATGCTTTTCGAGGATTGCAATATATCCCACTGTGGTTTGGAGAGGGGGGTCAAGCGGCATCTGGAAGGCAGCCTGGTTCAACCAGCAGCTGCCTTCTGTAGTGCCAGGCAGAGCATGTTTCAGCAGCAGCAGAAGACACTGAAGGTCAGCTGAGCACAGCAGGGTCTTCAAGTGCAGGATAGTGGGGGGTTGCTGGGGTTTTGCACTGTGGTACTGGGGTTGGCCTCACCATGGGGCTTAAAGCAGCACTTCTCAGCTGTGGCACTGGGGCGACAGTAGAGGCCTGGGGACGGTGACAGCTGGCTGATACTGAAATACCTCAGGCTTCTACTTCAGCCTCAGTGCTGCCACTGTGTAGGGCGGTCAACAAGGCTGAGATCAGGAGGAGAGACACAGATTTTGATTATGTGACTGCAGGGGTAATGCTGTGGCCATAACTTCAGGGACTGATAAGTATCATTTGTTTAGTGCTCAGTAACTTCAAACGGTCACTGAACACAAAGTCGTTAATGAAACCTTCTTTTATTCAGAGCCCTGATCATTCTTATTTTTCCTCTTTGCTTTTTCCAGTCTTCTTATGTCATTGCAGACAACTTAGATACTTCCACTGTTTATATATATAGTATATCTGTTTAAAATTCAGTATTTTTCTGCCTGAATTTAAACAGAATCATGTTTGGTTGACTAGTCACTCATTATAAAAAATGACATTCCCCCCCCCCCGAGGTCAAGAACACTTTTGAACAAATTAAAAAGAACAACCCTAAATACAGGTTCTTGAGGGACTCTGCTTCTTAGTTCCCTCCATTGAGAAAATTTCCTATTCATATCTACTATTTATTTTTTATTTCACAAGTTTGCAATCTATAAATGGATTGTCCCATGACTCAAAAGCTTCTAATAAAGAACTTTGCCATTTTTTAAAAACTCTCCAGCTATTCAATGCCAGCAGGGTCAGCTGCATTCATATGCCTGTTGACTTTCTTCCCCACCTCCATAAGAAAAAAAACCTCACTGAGATGTAGGTCAATAGATGATCATTGGAGAATTCATGCTAGTTTTCTTTTAGAAAAACCTTTAAATGTTCAGTTTCTTCTTTCCTTTAATTACCGTTTATATCAGTCACTGCAATTTTGCTTTGGGGTTACAATTCATTTGCAGGATTGCCTCCTCCTATACAAATCTGTTTAACTAGCTTGATTGGTAGAACATATCTTTGTCCTTAGCCTCACATTTGAGGCAAAGATAGCAAGGAAAAAAGGGAAAAGGAGGAGGAGAGGAAATACTTAAAAACAATTCCTTAAATGAAGAACTAGTCAACCCTCCCTTTTTTATCCATGTAGAAGTCAGGTTTTCTCAGATTTTCAAATTCAGTTAAGAAGAAAATGCTACTTTATGGGGGTTGATCTTGCATTTTCAGGACAACTACATCTTTTTAAATGCTTTCTTTACTTCACAATGTATCATACTTTAGTGTTAAGTAAGAAATGTGAAAATATAAAACTTTTTCTTTTGCTAAAATTACATACCGGTACATTCACATTCTACAACAGGCAAGTAACTGGGAAATCCCATATTTTTGGGTCAGCTCCTATGCCGGGATAGGATTGGTAAATCCTGCTACTGAAGAACCCAAAGCCAAGCCAGCAAAGGAGAACTCAGCACTGGATATCCTTGTATGAATTTGAATACAACCACAAGAAGTTGGAAGGCTATTTAAGTTCAGATTACCAGCTTTGATGAGTGGAAAGGAAGATTGAAAAGACCGTATTTTCGATAGAAAGCTATATTCATTATACCAAATCAAACTACTGTAACCTGGAGAACATCCTAATAGATACAATTCAAAGTGGTACAAATTTTCCTAGACTTCCACATTATTAGAAACTTGCAACTGTGCAAAATAAAAATTTAAAACAAAATCATCAGTGGTGCTGTGGTTTTCAATACTAATAGAGACTTCAAATCAGTTCTTCTACAAGACCCTTGCATCCTGAAGGCCCTTCTCTATAGGGGCATCCTACTCATTATAATCCACCCTTTAGTATCAAAGCTTCCCAAATCACCTAATAACAATATCCAGAAGGAAGCTGTTTTTAAATATACAGTCTAATATAGTATCATACAAAACAAAAACAATAAGCAAGGG